TAAATGGCTTTCTTATGGAGAAACTATAATCTGCACATTGTTCTCTATTCTGGATAATAAGAGATCAGCAATAAAATAAAATGTATTTTATTTCCTCAAAGAGTTATACCTTTGTAGACACTAACTTTTTTTTTTTTTTTAAACACATAGGTGTGGTAGGTGTGGTAGGTGTGGTAGGTGTGGTTGGTGTGGTTGGCTGCTTGAGGTTCTCTCTGCTCCAGTCTTTGTTAGCAAATATGTCTGGGAGGAGGCCTCACCCTAGAAGTTCCAGGGTATGCTGGTGCTGACTTTAGAGACTTCAGGCACTATTCTCTAGAAGCACCACTCCAAGAACAGGAAATAGGTGCCTTGGAGTCTGTGGCTTACACCTTGGACATGTTATAACAGAATAAACATGGCAAACTAGTGATTCTCATTTGGGGGTATGTGCAGCAGCTCTGTTCTGACTCATATACAAAGAGAGTAAATCATTAAGAAATAAAAAGAAAAGAATTCTCAGGTCTCAGGGTTCTATATTCAATTATCACTATCCCCAAATGAGGTCCAAATGATGACAATGCCACCGCAAAAAGTGGGAAAAAAACAAAACAAAACAAAACAAAAAACAAAAACAAAAAAACCCAAAACAAAACAAAAAACAATGACCATCTGATGAAACGTGAAAAGAAATTGGGCAGCAAGATAGTTTCTGATTTTCACAATAATGACTGGTAAATTGACAGATGGTATCTAAAGAAAAGATACAAATGCTGTAACTCTTTTCCTCTCAAGATCAGTGAGCTAGGTAACTCCAGGACACCTATATCAACAAACAAGATCTAGAAAAAAAACAGGTGAGAATAAGAAAGTAAATGGTCAGAACAAAGAGTGCTATAATGGAGTCAGGAACTGCTCCACTTAGATTAAGCCTGTAGGATGTCAGATCCTACTGCTCCACTGCTGCTCCACTTAGATTAAGCCTGTAGGATGTCAGATCACTTACTTCCACATGAAAACCCAAACACATTCCACAGATCTCTGAAACACCCAAGACAGTGAAACCCAATACTGGGTTTCACTCTTCCTTCATAGATGTGGAAATGCAGCCACAGGGACCTGTGCATACTTGCTCAGACTGGCAATTGATGTGCTAATAGAAATGTTAGAAACTTGATGGGGTATTTTTGTTAGTGGTTTTCTACCAGCCTATAAAGCAGACCAATTACAAGTGTCATAATTGGGTGCGGGGCAAGGTAGAAATCACCACACGAGTTGCAGAGAATAACTGCCTTAACTGGAATTTAGCTCACTGGAGCAAAGTTGTCTGAAACTGCTATCAGAATGAACATCTCTGATACATTGTGTGATGAGATCTCCCCTGAATCTACAAAGAGAGCTGCATTCCCTTCAATTTTGTTAAAATAAACAAACAAACAAACAAAAAGACATTTTTAATGTGCAATAGTTACTTTTAAATTGTCATGGAATCTGTAAAGATAAAGCATGATAAAAATAATTGTTAATTTGGTGAATTTCATGAGTGACATAGATAAGATTCTGTGCTACTCACTGAGGGGAATACAAATATATGTTAGGGCAAGACATAATGACTTGATTTGGTTTTGGAGGTGGCAATGGCGTACAGTAGAAAAATTCTGGTGTTTGCTATTAAATAGACTTACATTTCAATTCCACTTCTGTTACCTGATAGCTGTGTGACTTTGTCATGTGACTTGTCTCATTGAACCTCAATTTCCTCTCCCCAAAAATGCAGATGAATAGATGAGTACTTGCAAAAGGTTTTTGTGGGGAATACAATGAAGAACTCACCAGAACTATGTTTAATATAACACTGACAGAAAAATATATTGTAAGTTAGAAAATGATACTTGCCATAAGAAAAACATTTGCAGTACAGTTTCTAAAACCTGGATTAAAAGCATGTACAGATGTTCTATATTTCAATAAAATTATAATATTCAGCAGCCTAATTTTCCAAGCTCTTGTTGAAGAAAGATAGGGAAAACCATGGGATGAATGATTACATTTTTTGGTGTCTGGGTTAATCAGCTTTCTATTTACTGTAACAAATACTTGAGATAATCACCTTAAAAGGAGAAAAGATTTACTTTGGCTCACAGTTTTGGAGGTTTCAGTTCATGGTCAGGTGAACCCATTCCTTTTGGCCCTGTAGTATGACAACATACCTTGGCAGGAAGAATATGGTGGAGCAAGCCACTCTCTTCCCATGGCTGAGAAGCAAACAGAGAGGAAGAGATTGATGTTCCACAATACACTTGGAGGGAGGGCATGTGGTCCCCAATAACCACTCCCACTAGGGCCCACCACTTAAAGGTCACACCACTTTCCAAAACAGCTAGGATGAGGACCAAGTCTTTAAAATATATCCTTAGTGGGACAATCCAAATTCACACTACAGCAGTGTTATTACATTTTCTAGGGAAAACTCTGGGGCCAAATCCTTCATTGCCTTTGTAAAGACTGTTAATTGCTCATTTGTTGTAGCTATATGAATTTTTAAAATTTATTTAAGAATAATAGTGCACTATAGGGATTCAGGSCAAATAACATATTCTACTCATGGGTTTATACAATCTTGGAGAGTGATCCTTTCTTTTGTCTTCCTCCAGAAAGTTCTCTGCCTATCTGTGGAGTCTCTGCTGGACGTACCTACTACATGCACACTGACTTGAATCAAATAAGATGCCTATATATTTTCAATTCTAAAGCTATTTTTAAAAGTCAGAATGTAGTCATTAAGCAACTACTTAAGTAACTCCATGTTTTCCTCAGAGCTAAGTATTAATTTTTGCACTTATATACAGATATTTCTTTTGAGAGAGAGAGAGAGAGAGAATTTTTTAGTTTTCGGTGGATACAACATCTTTATTTTTTATTTTTATATGGTGCTGAGGATGGAACCCAGCACTCCGCGCATGTCAGGTGAGCACGTCACCACTTGAGCCACATCCTCAGCCCCCAGATAGTTCTTAAAGATTAAGTTGTTTTCATTAACAAATAATTTATGAAGTATTTTCTGGCAATAGTGTCTAATTGCATATGTTGATAAACCTTAGCAGTGGTTAACATAACTCCATGTCTTCTAAGAATATGCTTCTAAATTCCCTAAGCTGGGTTAGATTCTCTACGTAGTCTCTCACCCTGAATTATATTGGAATTGTCTCAAAACATTCAATGCTCTGTGGRAAAAAACTGACATATCCAGCTTTGCATGCCTACTTTAGAAAGGAGTACTTTAAATGAAGACATTTATCTGAATTGAACAAATTAATGACTAAAGAATTAAATACTATTATCTTTATTTTATTCTGATTGTTCTTTTAGAGTCAAGAATTTAGCCTAGTTTTTGTTTGTTTTTTTTTTTTTGAGATGAGGTCTTGCTATATTGCCCAGGCTGGCCTCCAACTCCTTAGGCCAGTCTCTGGGTAACTGTGGATACAGGTGCATGCGCTGCCTGGCATGGCCTCGAGTTTTTGTTTGTTTTGGGGAAAGATCCACTTTAGGAAATGTTTCACCTGACCCTGTCTATTTCAGAATTTGGGTACTGGACTCAGTGGGTTCTAGGCCCTCTCTCTAGTCTTGCCTAACACAGTAGATAGAAGGTAAGCAACTGTGGTAGATGTGTGTTCTGTGATTCCTGCCAGAAATGGTGTTGGACTGTGAGTCTTTGGATGTACAAACCAAGGTTTCAAGTTTTTCAACTTTGTTCCTGGGCTTAGAGTTTAGGTAGGCCACAGAGAGAAGGCAGCTTAGTAAACTTTTGTAGTTTTCAACTGGGTGCGGTACTTTTTGAGTGTCTTTGTGTTACTAACAGCGCCAGGCACTGAAACAAGCTCTGAAGCCCTAAAAAAAAAAAAAAAAAAAAAAAATCAAAATCTGGCCCATCCTTAAAGTTTTAACCGATGTGTGCTATTCACTGTGCCAGGAGCTTTAACTCATTTTTACTTCTCACAAATGCTTTTTTTTTTTTTTTTTTTTGTGGCTTTTAATTGACAGCTAACTCCTAGTGGGGATTGTTTACAACGGAGTAATTCTGATGATCCCTTCATTATTTTAAGAAGTGAATTATATCTCAACATAGTGCGTAGAGTGCACTAACCTTAAGTGTACAGGTAGATTAATCTCTACACATGCACACACCCCAGTAACTACTACCCAGATTAAAAAAAAAAAAAATGAACTTTTCCAACACCTACTAGATTCCTTCTTGCCTTTTCCCACCAAACAAGTTCCCACTCCTCAGAGATAACCATTATTCCAACTTTTCTCATCAAACCTAAATTCTGTACGGCATGATCTTGGAGAAAGTAGTAGGTGGAATGATTTGACCTACAATACGGTGGGGCTGTTCGACGCTCTCCGTAACTGGGGACCATGCAGATTCAGGGGTCCACAGAGCGAGGGTTTCGCTCTCACGGACCCAAACCCAGATGGTAGTTGTCCAAGATATTCCCTCACCCTCAGCACCCACCAAAAAGCACGGCAGACTCCGTGTAAGCAGAGCTGGAGCACGCTACAATGGCTGCCCACAGCCTCCCGCGCCGGCTTCCCCGCGTGCTCTTCGCTTTTCGCGTGGGCACCCCTCCCGCGCCACCARCACCCGGGCGTGGCCCTGGGTGCTACCCGCACAGACGCTAGCTGCCAGGGGGCGCTGCCGAGCCTGGGATGTAGGGCGCGCGCCCATTGGCTGAGCTTCTCTCCGCCGGCCGGCCGCCGCGGCGCCCACCTCCGGGTCCTCTCGCAGCGCCCCGATTGGCCGTTCGCGTCCCACTGGCGTTTGCTCCCGGCCCCCTCCCGCCCGGATGGAAACCTGGTGGGGGGTGGAGGGCTGAGCCGGGGGAGGAGGGAGTGCAGTAAGGGTGTGCGCGAGAGCCAATCGAGAGCAGACGTGGAAAAGGGGCGCCGCGCCATCCAGTCACATCCCGAGGTGCGGTCGGGGCTCGTGACGCGAGTGCGGGCCGCATCCAATGGGCGGGCCTCTGTCTGTCCGCTCTTCAGCAGCCGGTCGGGGGCGGTGGAAACGCGAGTGAGAAGAGCGCGGCGGCAGCGGCGGCGTAGCCATCGCGGGATTGCCGGGGGGAGAGCGAGGCCCGAGTGTCTGCGTCTAGGTGAGAAGCAGGGGCACCGCGGGAGGGCCGGGCTGCTGGCTCCTCCCCGCCTGGCTCGGACCGCGGCTGTGGGAGCCGGGACGCAAGCTGGGTCGAGGTGGGGCCGCTGGCCTGTCCCGCCCCCGCCCCCACCCGCGTCCGCCCGGAGCCGGGGCGCCCGCGTCTGCCCGGATGGTCTCTGCAGTGTGGCCCGGCCGCCGCCCTCCCAGGGGCCGGGACCGCTGGGGAGATGTAGGAAAGGGCCTGGTTGGCAGCCGCGGAGCCGGGGGCGCCGCCTGGGGTGGGAGGCCGCGTAGAGATGGCGAAGGTGGGGCGGGTAGTTAACGGGGGAGCGGGCTCGAGTGCTCGAGAGAGCGTGGCGGCAAAAGGAGGCCTGTGATTGAAGGATTTGGGGTCTGGAGAGGAAGAAAGTGATGGGAAGCGGGTGATGCTCAGGAAAGGGTGTCCGGGGAGAAAGCGTGGGACTGGGAAGCGTGGTTGGCCTCTTGGAAGAAGGCAGCGACAGGGGTTAGGGGAAATCAGCTGGGAGCGAAAGGTTTGGGTTTTGAAGGTTGAGGTCTCTGGACAAATGGGGACACGTGGATCTCGAGTAAGCAATGCATCTTTGAAGCCGGAAGGTGACTGAGCGGGGAGGCTTTAGGTGAGATGTGAATGGAGGATGTTTGACGAGGCATTATTTGGCCAGTTTGAAAGTACACAGGGAGGATTATGTGAGGTAGCTGAAGGCTGTGAATCTTTTATGAATAGTTGAGCAAGAACAGTCTGGAAAGACGGAAGGAGCCAGGTCCACAGATTCATTCACTGTACACTGGAGACCGAAAAGTGTTAACTCACTTTTGAGGTTGATAATCCTTCTTTCTGCCTCCGCACCCTACTTCCCACTCTCATTGACAGTCCAACTAATTGTTTTACTTCAGCAGCGTACAAACTTACCTTCTCCAAAGTAATGGGCACAAGTATTGTTTGCTTTTGAGTGGACAGCTGTGAGGAGATACTTAATTCTTTACATTAAAAAAAAGTCAAATGTGTTAGTTTATAGGCAACATCAGAAAATACTCTGGGAATATCTGCCCTAGAGGGGAGTTTCTCAGTTGTATTTTTGGGCATGTGTAATACAGCATTAAAGTGATGCAAGACCTCTTACAGCAACACAATAATTAATGTGTAAGTACAGCCCGGTTTTTTTTTTTTTTACAGGATCATCCTTTTTGAAAATGTAGTGAAATTTGAAGATGTGTTATGCTTTCTGGGAAGTTTCAGCTTGAAAAGTTTTATAGCCAAGTTAGTTCAAAATTCTTTTCAGAAAAGAAAGACATAATTTATGTATATCACTATTACTGCCTTTCTGTTTGAAATTTTGGGAGTGTTTATTTATGATGTGTGGACAGAGGTTGGGGCCAGAGAAGAAGTAGTGTGAACAAAGGTGGCCCACTACCACATACGTATCCAGTGGATTTATTTATTTATTTATTTAATATATTTTTATTAGTTGTTGATGGATCTTTATTTCATTTACTTATTCATAGGTGGTGCTGATAATCAAACCCAGTGCCTCTCACTTGCTAGGCAAGCACTCTACCACTGAGCCTCAACCCCAGCCCTATCCAGTGGATTTAAATGAGAGGAATAATTTTTGTTTGAGGATGGGACAAAAGATGAAAGAGTTACAGTGTCAGGGACAAGATCCAAAGAGAGCAGTTGTTGTATGGGGTGTTTTTTTGTTTACCAGATCAGGGAAGCATTGTAACTAATGGATCATTCTTTGGGATGCAGAAATAATTTTTGTGGAAGTTATTTTTTGGTAACACTATTAACTATGACCACATTTTACCCTTAGTGTAACAGAATACTTAAGTGTTGGCCATTTGGAGCAGAGAAGTAATCTTAGTGGTGTGGAGTTAATCAGGGAAGGTTTCTGAAAAATGTGAGTTTTTAGTCATCACTTGAAGTATTAGTTAGGATATGAGTTAATAGAAGACCCAATAATGGCAGCCCAGTTTGGACATAGTATGAGCAACTATGGAAAAGAATCACAAATTAAAAATGTTTTTTAAGGATAATTGAATATTTTGAATGAACATTTAAGGGTGTGGGAATCAAGCCTCTTGTTGCAGCTTAGTTGATAAATGATGGTTCTGTGTGGTGTCTAGGAGATAATTTTAACAGTTGATGGATTAAAGATTGGCAATAAAGGAAAGTGCACAAAAAATTTTTTTGATAAGCAAATGTAGTAAAAATAAGTTGGATTATTGAGAGGTAAGTTTGATAGTCAATCACATATACTTAGAAACATTTTTGAGTTTTATAGATTATATTGATAGTAAAAACTGCTTGGCTTTGAGCTTTCTAAGTATCATATTTGGATTATCTAAAAATTATAGGTGGGGAGCCTGAGGTTCAGAGAGATTTAACTTGCCTAAGGTCACACAGCTAATAAATGGCAATGTTAATTGAGCATTGTTGCCAGGCACTATACTACATGCACAAGATTCCTAGTGGACAAGAAAATTCAAGGGTTTGGCTTGAGCCATTTTTTTTTTTTTAAGAGATTGTTATAGAAAAAGATCCAGTGAAGAAATTAAAAGATTACTTGGAGAGATTTTTGTAGATACCAAGGAATATGCTACTGATAGAAACCTAAGAAAGAAGGAAGTGTTCAGCAACAAAATATCTAACTGAAAGACTTGGAGGAGCAATGATAAGAAACTRCTGAGTTAAATAAGGAAAAAAAAGAAAAGTAAATTTAGTCAGGATGAASGTATTAAAATATGGGCAGCTAATCATGCTTAGTGCCAAATTTAAATATTTGGCATGATCATAGTTCCGATGAAATCCACAGGAAAGATGATGGTAGGTCCCCTTGTATTACTTTAATCTTTTGCTAAAAAGATCTTGAATGGTTTAAAAATGCTTATACTTTGGTTTAGTTCCAAATTTAAAAAAAATGATAATGGGGGGGCATAAAAATCATTCAACAGAAATGAGCTAATAGGGAATATGTAGTATCTAAGTCTGAACTTGGAGTGAGAGAAAAGAAGGTCTTATTTCAGTACCTACTCCATATAAGCCACTTTGGTAGGCTGTTCCCATCTTGGAAATAACTGAATTATTGCTGGTGGGAATTGAAACTCTACCTACTAGAAGAAGGCATTTACTTAATTTGAGAGATGGGGTTACCAAAGTACTCCTAGAGCTATGGTCTTGACTTCCTAAACATTTGTTTCTTAGAGGTAAATAAATGAGTTTAAGCTTAAAAGAAAACAAACCACTCATAGAATTTAACCATCTTAACTGTTTCTTTTGGTATTCATATTCTTCCTTGGTCTCACACATTGATTCTGTAGTTCCTCTCTTGGTGGGTTTGTCTTGGGCCTAGAGTTTCAGTTCAGTAAGGCAGTATGAAAGTACTGAATTTACATTTAACTGATTGACTTAAACAGTTAAAAGTTCATCATTGTTTTCCCAATTTGAAGGAAGAAGATAAATATATTTTCAAAAAGCTTTTTTTTTTTTTAACCAAGGAATTATTCCCAAGCAACTAGTAGGATTTGTCCTAGAATCAGTACAGATTGATTAAATGAAGAGGGAGGAGTCTTATAAATCAGTTTAGTGTTTAATTTTATTTGGCCCATGAGGATTATAGGAGAAAACTAAATGTGATTCCTATTTTATTTAGGCGCTGTATTATATTCCTTAAATAAATAACATATAATTCTCAATGCTTTCATGTGTGTGTCCTATTTCACAGATGAGGAGAAGGAAGTTCAGAGAAGTTGGTAATTCTCCAGAGGTTGGAGAGCTAAGTAGCAGATCTGGGATTCAAACTTTGCTTTGTCTCCAAAACTCTAGCGTGAGACAAATAACAAGAAGGACTTATTTATGTTAGTAACTATAATTGGGGCAGAGAGCCACATAATCATAGGTATTTAATAACTGTTACCCTAGAGAAAATGGGACTTCTTGCTCCAAGTGTTTGTGCCTTGTAGTACTGCCTCAAATGAGAGTGCTATCGATGTGTCTTATAGGATACATTATATTACATTTTCTTGCTTTAGAGATGTATGTTTTCACATTCTGATATTTTTCAAAATGAAGATGTATTTTACTTTGTCTTTATATTAAAATGTTTATTAAATGGTCTTAAAGTCAAATGAGTCTCAAAATTGAGGAAGTATGGTAGATGTCTGTAGTTTGCATTCTTAACCATTTTTTTACCAATTTGTTCGTTTTCTACCCAGTCTCCCTTTACTTATTGTATCACATTCTTTTATTTATTTATTTTTTTCCAAAGAGAGAGAGAGAGAGAGAGAATTTTTTTTTAATATTTATTTTTTAGTTTTTCGGCGGATACAACATCTTTGTTGGTATGTGGTGCTGAGGATCGAACCCGGGCCGCACGCGTGCCAGACAGTGCACTACTGCTTGAGCCACATCCCCAGCCCCCTATTACATTCTTTTAAAATATGGTATAATATAAAATTGAAGTATGTAGTAAAATTGCACGACAAAATAACTCATTCTCTTTAATAGTGTGCTGTAGAAAAAGTGTTGTGATGTAGATATTTTATATTAGACAGTGAATCAGCAGATTTAAGTTTCAGTCTTGGTTAGCAACTTGCTGTATACTCTAGGCAAGTCACTTCCCCTCTTTGGTCTTTAGTTTCCTCATCCGTTAAATGGAAGACTTTTAAGCCAGCTGTGGTTGAACAAGCATTGTGCCCTCCTTCTAATTAAAAACATGGATGTTTTAGATATCGTACCTTTTATGAAAACTGTACTGCTTTTACTGTTTTTTAAAATATTTTTATTAGTTGTTGATGAAATTTTTTATTTTATTTATTTATTTGTATGTGGTGCTGAGAATCGAACCCAGTGCTCACACATGCTAGGAAAGAGCTCTACCACTAAGCCATAATCCCAATCTCGCTTTTGCTGTTTAGCTCTATTGTAGAGCAAGTGCTATGAATCCTCTCTGGCTAGAATGTGAGTGTGCATATCAA